CGACCGTCTGAACCACCGTATCCTCCTTCACCAGCTGCTGTGTTGTGGAATTGGTGACCCAATCCTCGGTTGGATGAGTAACTGCTTGCTTTAACGACATCTGAATGTAAGAGTTCGCGGCGTCAATTCTGACTCAATCGATGTTAAGTGCGGAGTGACCCAGGACTCAGTAATTTGTCCACCACCAATTCTGATTTACATAAACGATCTCGTGACAGTGGTCACCTCCAATTCCTTACTCTTCGCTGATAATCTCATAACATTGCGGGCCATTAGAAAAACCAGCGACAACGCAGCACTTCAGGATGATCTTGACAGGATCTACAAATGATCTACTCAGAATCTGCATCAGTTCAACGCTACAAAGTGCAAGGTGTTGAGCATACGCCATTAGGCCCCTTGCGAATACAGACTGGGGGATCAAATATTGCTGCGCACTTCAACAGAATGTTATCTAGGCATGATGGTGCAGGAAGATCTGGGAGGTTCTCGTCAGGCCGAGGAAGCCTCCAACAAGATAACCAACACCTTGGTCTTTTGCGGAGCGCATTCGGGCGCTTTGATCCTTCCACCTTTTCTCGGATGCTCAACGTCTACATTCGGCCTTATACTATGTACGTCATCCACGCCTGACAGCCATGACAAAGGCAAGACCTTACCGCTCTTGAACTGCCGCAACGGAGGAAGATCAAAAGGTAAAAGGCCCGTTTCATCTTCCTTATCGACTGAGGCCGTAAACCCTCGGGGTCCATAGTGGACAATATCGATGCCTGCGTGGCGACTTAATAATGACTTATATGATGTTGAGGAATCCAAACCCTCCTTGTCGTCACCTACTAAAGCTGAATCGCAATACCACACTAAGAGGACACCAGCTAGAGCTGGCCAGACAACGCAGCCGGTTGGAATACCGAAGAAATTTCTTCTCCTTTCGTGTGTGCCAACACTGGAAAGCTCTTACCACAGGTCGTTTCTTCCCTCACGCTAACGGTATTCAAAGACGTCTGGATGATTCTCTCATCCACTTACATTATGCTATATAATCAGAGATGTCTACATCAACCAAATGCGACCAAACGGTGCTCATCCTCAGCTTTGTGCTTTACTACTTACAAGCTGCTGCTGTGGAATATCATTCGGCTATAATATAACTGGATTCATCAATTACATCGGTCCAAGAAAGCAGCGCACGAGTGAGCGTTGTCGCTTCTTTTGTTCTTAAGACATACCTTCCCATATTGCTTTCCCACAATATTTTACAGTAAAAATTCAATACGCATTCTAAAGTATCAATGAAGCTGGGCACCTGCATCGCTAGACGCTTAGATTGACGATTTACACCTGTGTTTCTTTTCACTGCAATCATCATACGGGACATGCAAACCAGTCGCCATTTTATCTGTAATATATTATTATTTGTTGCTCATTGACGTCCGCCGACGAGAACTCGGTGTTTGCGTACTCAAGTGGGTGGTCGTAACCCACACCAGTGCTATACATCGATCAGCAGTTCTGGACATAGCCTGTCTAACGGCAACTGAGTATGATGTAAGTACTTGGCTTTATGACTGGTTTAAAGCTGGTGGACGTCATGTAATCCTTCTCTCGGCGCAGTAGCAACTTTAATTCTCGCAAAAGTTGACGAACGTCTTCACACAGGTTTAAAAAGCCCACACCAATGAAATTACGGAAGGCTACCTCGAGCTGGCTGCCCAAATGCAGCTCATCATTTGAAGTTCTTCCAACTTGAGTGCAGATTAGCGCTCAGTATCAGAGTATCTATTTTTCTGTTGCAAGGACGAAGTTTGTTCACCTTTTGATAAAATCATTTCTCACGGAGTCCGTGCTGCATTCTGTGGGGGCGGTAGTAGCACTGATAAACAGACAATCTTTGTCCTCACGCAACTTGGAAACTTTGAACCAACCAGCCAATCTAACGGCGCTCATCTGGGTGCTGATTTGGCACCAATTGATCGGGGAAGATTAAGCCAATGAAATCTCTGCGATATTTACACCGGTTTGACTAGAATTTGAAGCTGCATCATTCCCGAACGAAAACATTTAGGTACCGCCAGATTTGAACGTGGGGGATCTAATAGTGAGCGTAAAACTTAAAGGTTGTAGGCCGGCTTCCGATCAACAGCGGATATCGATCGATAGAATCCTCACTATTGTCTGATCTGTAACAAGTCAGACAGAGTGCTGCATTCCTGTCTTAGTGAGGGTCGATGGATCCAAATAGAAGCTGATGAATTGACATTGCGCGCTTTTTCAAACATGGATTTGTCGACTGGACTGAAGCGACGCTCTGCGATTACCCATGTGTCGAAACTAAAAGACAGACGACTGTTCAAGCAAGATGAGCAACGGCTGAAAATTAGGGGTTACAAGTCAGGGTTTGAAAGTATAGTTAAAAAGAGAGGCAAAGAATGACAAAAGGCAAGAGGGGGCTAATCAGACAGGACTGCTTGAGCAGCAGATCGGGCGTAGTTGATTATTCTGTGCAATCGCCAGAGCATCAAATAGTTATGTAAAAGAATTTCATTATTTACTAGAGCAAGATAATGTTAGGTTACTGGGACCTAAACAGAAGTACGAGTAAAGTTATAAACCAAAGCGTTTGGTTTAAGACGTGGCCATAGGTCATCAGTATTTTGACACTAGGACTAATGAACTACCCCGCAATTTGACTTCCAACCTAAAAGATCAGTAGACTGAGTTTACTTTGACTCTAACAATCGACCCATCTGGTATGAGTGCGATGAACGTGAGGCACGAAAAGTACCCCGTCTTCTTAACGTCCGGACTCATGGCGATGGACAAATTTTGAGTATTTACTGTGAAGTTTGTCTGAACATGTCCGCGAGCATCACCCTGCGTGGCTAAGCTGCGGATTGCATAAAACCTGAATCATTGCAATTGTAACCTACCTAGTTCAGACGAATATATTGTTGACTCGCGAAGGTTCGGCTGGTGCATTGGATAACGACCACGCACTGGACTTGCATTTTGTCGACTTTATAAGGCATTTGATAAGTTACCCTTTTCGAGACTCACTCCAAAACTGACCTCCTACGGAGTATCTGGCTCCGCCGTTCAAGTTTGAATGCCTTCTTGGATGGTAAAGACCAGTGTGTACGAATAGGTCGTGGCCTATCGTTTAGGCAGTCTGTCCTCAGTGGCGTGCCCCAGGGCTCAGTCCTTGAACCACTGCTGTGCTCTGTCTCTGTGAATGACCTACCCGCGGAGCTTGAGGTACCATTGCTTTTATTTGCTGATGACCCAAAGCCGTAGATTAATGTCGATGTTTCTGGGGGTTCCGAAGCTATTCAGCGAGCAGTGGATAAGATTGGAGACTAGTATTCTTTATGACTACTGCCCATAAATCAGGCAAAGTGCTCCTTTCTACGAATTGGAGCAAGTTGTCTTCCTGCGTAATACTCGGTCGGTGGAGTCGAACTCCCCAGTTTATCTAGCCAGGTTGATCTAGGCGTCATATATTCTACGAATTTACACTCCGGCGATAGCTGGCAAAAGGCCGCATCCAGAGGTTTCCGCATGTTGTGGTTAATCGCCGTTCTTTCGGAATCTTGACGGGCGGTGTCTTTGCGAGACTATTGTCGGCTTTGTTTCGGCCTCATCTGGAATACTGCGTCCAGGCTTGTCGATCCTGCCTCGTCCGGGACAAAATATAGCTAGAGAGGGGTTCACGGATGGGTACTAGGTAGGTTGAGCGATTACGGGGACAGACGTACCCCACGCGTCTGCTTAGTTTAGGAATGCATTCAGTGCACTACCGAAGGATTAGAGGAGACCCAATCCTAACCTGGAAGGTTGGTCCAGATTTATCTTGGCTAATCCTTCCCGCTAGATTGTTTGTTCTACGCGGTCATTCCATGAAAATGGACAAATCGCGGTCCGATCGGAGTAGGACGGATATCCGTATGTCACGCTGAGGCATCGAGCGCATCAACATGCTTCCGAAAAGTGTCATCAGGGAAATTACGAGTAAGGGGTTTGAGCGGCAACTGGACGCTCCATGGTAGCAACACGAAACCTTTCTCTTTTCCTGAGTAGCTCGTATCTTCCTAGCACTTTTCTTTTCGCCACTTTTCTTCATGCGTCGGTATTATCCTTTTATTTCATGTAAACTTGCTTATCCTGTACCTCTCATTTTTTCCCCATTCAGTGCTCACTTCAAGTGACCGCCACAGCAGGGATTGCTATGTTAGAAATTGTGGGCATTAATTGGCTGGCCAAGATATGATAAGGGTGTTCCGTTTAAGATCCATATAGGACTCTGATCACTTCCTCTATACCTGGCTCAACGAACAATCAGGGTATCCTTCTATCGTTCCAGTTCCACCTGAACTTGAACTTGAATCATACTTTGTTATCACCAAATCTTTTCTTCCGAGCTTTCGTAAATTGGTTCTCCATTCCAAGGTTTTCAAATGCCGAAATCTTTTATGCCGGGGTCGATCGCGAATAATCTCAACAACCTCTGTTTTGTGGTTAGCAGCAGTTCGTCAAGGGCTTAGTTTTAACATGACTATCTGTCGTCCGGGCAGCCAACGTTTGAACAAAGCACATCCATTTTGTGCGTTCTGACACTTATATTTTCTAGTTAGTCAATGTACCCTGTCGTATGTTAATTATTTAACTGTGTTGTGTTTGGTCTGACGTTGAATCATAGCAAAAGTGCTTGTTTGCCAGACAATACTCATGTGCTTGAAAATTGAAGTATTCACCATTTGTAGCTGTAATACCGTGGGTATCAATTGAAATATGTTTGAAAGTCAGGCAAGGCAAGCCAGTCACATATTAATGATAGCGAGGCAACAGTCAGGTTTTTTGGCTTGAATAGTAGTTATTAACAATGCCTGATCAGGTGTTCGTCTACAATTCAATAGAAAATCCTCATAACGTTTAAACATCTTCATCAATTAATAACAAGTGCCCAAGCTGTACTTATCCCAAATGTGCTTTTATATACACAGGAACGATCTAGGCAATATCTGGTTAACTGGACACGCTGGCAGTGTACGTGCTTTGTGGTTGGATTCGCGTCGTGGGTTTTTGCTTTCGGGAAGTTACGACACGAATATACGCCTTTGGGATCTCTCAGAGCAGCGCTCAAATCCGCAAAACGTCTCAACTACCACCAGGCCGGAAGCGAAGAAAAGCGATCCCACGCAACCCAGGAAGAGCCACTCCCGATGTGTACGGATTTATCAAGGACATACGGCCACTGTGCGTTGTCTATGGATGGATGATAGCAAATTATGGTTTGGTCCAAAGGAACAGTTGCGGATCCCAAAGTTGTCAAACATGCCTGCCTATTCAAACGTCTATCTTGCGGAAAGACTGGACAAATATGACTTGAGATTCGCTACCGGCGGGGCAGATGGTTTATGCTGTGGTAAGTAAACCACTCACATCAATTAGGATAACACAACTTGGGATTTCTTAATGATGAAATTTCTACGTTGATAAAAATATGTTGATCAACTGCTATGCTAATCATAAAAGCATTTCGAACCATCATCATGCAAAGTATGAGAAAAATTATTTACTTATTCTTTGCTATATTAGTATGCATATGTGTTACAAAGGAGGAGAAAAGATAAAGAAACGCTGAGAGTTATAACAAATGTGCATGCCAATCTTGATTTGTGTAAAGCTGCACCTGCGGTCAACGTTCCGTCGGCAATAAGTGAGGATGCAAGCCACCGCATGTGGCGTCGCGCACAGTCTTCGGTGACAGCGCGATCGGTTGCCAAAATAATTTTACCGTCAAAATGACTGCGTTCAGCAAGTATTTGTATAGACTGATTTGCTGCTGATGCAGCAAATAAATACTGGAATTTTGTGGCGATGGATCGATTGTATCCTTCAACAGTTGCATATTCCCTTCACTTAGCGTAAGGTATTCTTATATGAAAAAATACATTGGCAAGTTTTTAATCTCGTCAAGAGAAAATTGCCACAAGAAATCTCTATTTTGTTTGCAAGTACCTCGACAACGCATTTTTATTCTAGATAAGAAATTCTAGATACCATATAAGGTAGAATAATGTTGGTTAGTCCATCAGAATTTCACAAGCAGGTCTAGCCCTGGCAATATCGGCACGGAAACAAGTCGCTTTGATGGAACTAAACAAAAATAAAGCAGGTTAGGCGAGAATTCATTATGTGATACTCCTTATTCAGTTTTTCTTTTGTGCCAAGGTTTATCTACGACACTCATCACCGTAATACTCATAGTGTTCACTGCAGATTGCTGCACATGGGGCTTACATTGATAGCATGTTATTTTAAATTGACTAATATGGGTAAGTACGAAATCCGGCATAGGGTTCATTGCCGGAGAAGAGTAACAACTACTCCATTGTTTTGATCACACAATACAGTCTTAATTTGGAATAACAACAACAACTTTTACTATCAACCTGCACGTTCTATTCGCTAGTGTCACACAAGATAGACTGGATGAATGTCTTGTAAATGTGTGAATAATCTAACTAAAATCTCAAAAAACCGGGCAACGGAAGACAGTAGTTAAGATCAAAGAAGTTGGTTAACATTATCACATTATTAAAAGATGTCCGTCATAATACCCATCTGTTTCCTTTACCTGGAGGACTGTTAGGGTTCTTGAAATAGAAAAGATGCAGGTTCCTGATATCAAATTGATAGAAGGAAAAACTGCAATTACCTTAAAACAACAGTCAGTAAATTCACAGACAAGTATTGGGTGTTTATAGGTGCAGGGTGCCAACACATTTTTTAAATCATACTACCAATGTAACCTTCTTGGCCCAAGTAATAATGCTGGAAGTGATCCAATTTTGCAAGACAGCATGCAGTTCAACCACTATTTCCCTTCAATTTTGAGTTTTCATATACTGATTATTTACCCTAAAAAACATGCCCTGCATTGTAGTCTCAAAACGTACACCGTCTCCTCTCAAGATCTTTTTAATGGGCTTAGGAAGAAAGCCATGCCGACGTTATGGTTCAATCCTATAAAGGAGAACGAAAATGGTTTCATATTACTTAACTAACAAACCTATGCTTATTTAAAATTGTAAACTTAAAAACAACTAAAACTTTCATTCGTACAAGCTTCATCTCCCTTTTACATCACGAATCATCATTATACACCTTAGCTAGAGGTGGGAAACACCTAAAAGAAAAAAGGGAAAAATGCAACAGGTGCAAGACAGCAGAGCTACCGTAACTGATGGGCATCGTTCCGGGAAGCTACTAGCCGGCTACTATGTACCAACAATATTACTGTGAAAAAGTATACAAGGTTACTAGTGATATAAGGTAAAATACTGAGATCTAAGCTTATACAGCAGTGTTGAACCTTACCGTGGTGCGATGGTTTGAATACTTCAGAGATCCATTGAGCTATGCCGGTTGGTGCTTTTTTCACTTTCAAAGCCACTCATACCAGATTGGTCAATGGTTAGAGGTCAGACAAACTCAGTCTCCTGGTCCTACAATTTGGAGGTTGGAGTAAGGGTGGCTCCTTATTCATTAAAATGGACTCCTAGTAACCCAAGGCCAAACCGGCTGTCATGCGGTCAGGTTTTTGAATCAAAGGCTTTGGTTGAGAACCCTGATTGTTCTCCTGTCTAGGCGTGGGCAACCTGACAGTATCCTGACCAGGCAATGCTATGAATCATTCGACAAACAATTTCTCCGTTTTACAAATTTAAGACCGTTAAAATAAAAGAAGTAGAACCTACAATTTTTTTATCGTTTTCGTAATAGTTTTTTGGATTCATTTCTCAGGGTAGCCCTGATTTTGAGTTGACTTAAATGATCAAGTTTATTAGAGTCTTGATGCAATCAGGACCAAATAATTGATGTTCAACTTTGTAAAAGATTTTTTCTAGGCAAAGGACTCACCTTTGCTAATTTTCTTACGAATTGCATTTTTAGTACCACAAGCAGAGCAAAACGCTTAGTTTTCTAGCCTAAGGTTCATAACTCAAGCATGACGTTTAGTTATGTTGTACCGTTGATGCCTCGCTTGGAAGTATTATGCGTTAGTGCCCCCTTGTCTAAAGCTATTAACCAACGCTAGCATTTGACGAAGAAACTATGTAATTTTAATACACAAACACTGTCTACATAACTCATCTGTAGATTGAGGCCTATAAAAACAGGCTTTACGCATCAATCGAAAATTCCACTTTGAGTAAATTCGCTGTTTCACTAAATGGATAGCTACGAGTTATCTTTCAATATTTCTCAGGTGTTTTCGAAAATAACCTGCAAATAATGAATCTGAAATCAGCATTTTAGTTGTTTTACGCGTGAAGCCGTAACTTGCTACTAAGCAGAAATATCAGTATCTGTAATTTTGAAGTATTTCTAGCCAAAAATATAGTTACAACCCATTAACTAATGTTATGCTGAGCTGATTTTATGCTCCGGAGAAATGATGGATAATCAAAAGTGAATTTACACTGCTGTACTGGACAGTTTAATTATAGCAGCTTTTTACTGCCAACTACAATTTTGGCTAAACTTTTATACAGAATTTTGAGGGACAGCCCATAAACGGAACAATTTAAACGAAAGGTGTTTGTTTATAACATTTACGTCTAGGAAAAACCTTCTAATAATGATGTAAAATAGTACGTAATTTAGTACCAATTTGTCAAAGGCTTTGCTTCAATTCCTACCTCATTCTTCGATGACCTGTAAAATTTAAATTTTGGCTAAGAGTTATAGATTCAAAATTCCGGGAAATTTTGGTAAAAGTTCGTAGATTTCAGTAGTAGGTACATATGACAGACATGATTTCCCACTTTTTATACTGCGCTTTTTGTAGTGGTGAACATTTAGATTCCCATTAGCGCTACGGTTTGAATATGCTACGGAGATCGATCATGTCAAAATATGTATGTTATTGACTGACTACCGATCAATTGCTTGTTCAGTTTCAATGAGCGAATCAAAAAACGAAGCTACCAACAAATCGCATACAAGTTTTATGTTGGCGTTACCCATGGAGGCGTACCAGCTGGTCTACTTGGGAACCGCAGCGACAAATTGAGGGGTGGATTTCTGCATATTAGTATGCTTAAGAACATTGCATAGTTAAAGATGTATGATTCAATCAAACCGGTACGTGGAAAGTAAGTAGATTAAAACCATAGTCTAAATCAAAGTTGCAGCGCCAAACCACAGGCATGCTGTGTGAAAGGGATTTAAGAATATGTAGGAAATTGACCGATTAACAAATTGGTGTCATATTTCAATTTTTATGGTCAGTAACCAATCCCACTTCTCACCTGACTTTTTGGAGTTCAGCGCCTCTTTATGTGGGCCTCGGATTATTTTTGATAATGTAGCCTTACCTAGCCATTACATTGCATGGGGTTGTTATATCTGCGACTGAAATATAAGGTGAGTATACAAAAAATCGACTAGTTTTTGGTGGGCGAACCGCTTGTGAAATGCTTAACATCATCAAAGTAGCAACCTAATTAATGTTGCCTAGATACCGAAAGGAACTGGTGTTCACTTAGAAGCCATTTTTGATCATTTTGATAAAATCCTGAATACTGTTATATTTCTTTGATAAGCGCATACGAGTAAAGTTTGGCACTAAACAGTTTTATGTTGCTTGCAGTGTGGCAACTCAACTGCAAGCATCCATTATGGACATTCAAGCACTCCGCGCCAGTGACTGCCGTAATTCTTCGGGGACACTACTGTGCCGCAGGTGATTGTGATGGGCGGATAAAATTGCGTTTCTTGCTTGGACCGAAGCCGCGTCTGATTAAAGTGAGCGAAGATATTTCATGGACAACGTCCTTGAATTCAGTTAGGTATACTTGACGCGCTTCCCGATTTCTTGATTGAAGAATACATACATTTTATTTTCTGAAGCTATAACTTGCGGTATTGCGTGCATATTTAGAAAAACTGCAGATCCCTACCATGTAGAAGCAAGGAATCTTTACTCCCATTTTCAGCGTTTTAGCCTTTCGAATCCTGCCAAGTATTGTACATTGATTCTGCTCCCGGTGCTCTCTAAGTTGACGGAGGCTAGCGAAGCTAAGGCACTCATGGGCTACTTTAATAGCTCAAACATCATGGCGTAGGAACAACCTTTATTCAATCATCATCGTTCGTGTACTACCAATCTACTGATTGCTAGTGGTAGCCGATAGTAAGACTGGCATTGATGTCATGTGGCTTGCAATTTCTAAAGCCTTCTGCTGATTGGATCACCGATTTCTTTGCCAAAAGCTGCAAAAGTACGGTATCGGAATCCCTGTCCTTATATGAATCGAAAATTCCCTCCTTCAGTTTAGGCTTTAGGTTTCGGGTCCAGCACTCATTTTCTAAGCCAACTTTTGCAAACTACGGTGTTCCACTTGTGTCTGTGAGGGAGCTCCGCTTACTGGTTGTTCATTAACGGCCTGGTGTGAGTCACGAACTAAAGTTTTGCGCAGTTTGACCATTACATCAAAATATGTTGAGCGATTGGTAGGCAGGAAGTTCACTAATTTCTGCCACGTGATTATACTGTGCTTTTTATGGCCAAAGACAAATTTATTCCCTGTTAAGCAGGTGCAAAACAGTACACGGACGCCACAAGCCCATTAAAGCATTTAACATTAGAGAAGAAGTCTTGAGGATGGGTTTGGGGTTGTGATGCAAGACGTCCACGGCGTTCAAAACCACGAAGTAACATGTTACTCTCTTAAGGACGGCGTTCTACCAGTTCGACCTCTGCAAATTTAACCAGATGCTAAATGCGTAAGTGAGAACCCATGTAGAGTACGCCACTTGGCCTGTCTACGTTAGTTAAAACTCTATCTGTCAGCATTAAAGCGTCACAGTGAAGGGCAACTAAAACGTGAAGAGATTGTTCCCTCATCTTCGACTAAAACTTTGGAAATTTACAGCGGAAGTTATCACTATCTACAAGGAGACCTCAATCTGGCGTGCCAGGTCTTGAAGCACCCCGGTCACGCTTGCCGTCAACTCTTAAAAATTAGCCACAACATATTATTGATGGGTCACCAGCCGAAAGCAATCACCCAATAATTAACCTTAAGGACGCTGCATTATTTTTCTCGTCCAATTTGACATCCGTGTAATGTTATCACGACTTTTGTCATTTCTGCGCCCATGCTGCCCATTTGAATAATGACTCGACATTGCGTTATCGCATCTGTATACTTTAAGTTAACTTCTATTCAACGATTGGTGACAAGACGCAGACAAACATTGTGCTCTCGAACTCTACCGCCATTGGGGTAGATGGATACAGCGGAGTGTTAACGTGGATAGAAGGGTGAGCTCATAGATCCGCGTTTAAATTTAGTGTAACATCACTGTTTTGATTAACTTAGTTCACACAAACCATCCCATGTGGCCTGTCAAGCATTGGCTTTGTATCTGTGTTATGCCATTGGTCCATGCTATAGTAAAAGGCACTTGATGACGAGGTAACTTTATAAACGAGTGCGTTTTGGTTCTGACTAATTAATTCCGTTGAATATGTTTCGGCCTTCTGTGTAGCCTAAAACAGCTAACATTTACATCATACAATATCGTGAATGTCATAGTTTCATTTTTCTAATTATAAGCAGTAGTATTTCAGCTATCAAGTTAGGACCATTTGAAATGCGACATTTCTTTACGACCGTCAGTGACTCCGTTGCGTCATACCCTACCATATACCTCTCACCATGACCGTTATCGTGTAAGTTTAGATGCATACCATCTACTCATTGTTAATTTTGGGATCATTACGTGGTGCATACCACATGTGATCTAGAGAAAATGCTGCTCAGTAAACTGCCTGAAAAGAGCAAACCCTCATCGCTAAAATGTTAAAGGGACGAAAATGGAGAACAAGATTTCCAGTTTTAGTACTAACTACAAGAGCACATTTGTAAGGCTACTATCGTGTGCCTGTAGATTGAACCTTATTGCAGCCAACGAACATGTCTAATACATGAATGTCCAAACACAAATTATGGCTTATCTGAAGTGTGAGTAAACCCGAGCGGAATGTAGAATAAAAGATTTCTTCTCGGACTGTCTTAGCTCTAAAATGCCCTCTTAGCGCAAGTGATAAATCCGCACACATTGTTGCTAATCAAAAATGGAATGAAGGAAACGCTGTTACATTTAGACAAAGTGCTATTGCCCGAGACCATCAAATGATGACAATAGTGTGAAACAAATAACAAAATCTTCTAGGCGGGCCATAAAATGCAATAATACTTACATTTGTGGTAGTGCATATTTCTTGGTAAATACTGCAGCGTGTCTTCAATTTCAGAGTCATTGTTTTCATTTTGTAATTTTCAACTTAATCTTCACACAAAGATCGCCAACTATTTGTTTTTACGCGTCATAAACCATTGCCTCATCGATCGATTCATACAGAGCTTCTATACTGCTGAAGTTTTATTAAAATTTTGGTTAATATTTCAGGAAAAAAATGTGATGGAAAATAGGCCAGATGGTCTATTTACAGACATGCATAATCAAACGTTTGGACGTAGTTTAAATGGCTTGTTGACGTTTTATACTGCGGACTGTTGCTCAAAACTGCATTTAAAGGCATGAACTTTGGGTCAGTCTATGCTCATGGTCTTGGCAGAAGACGTATTTTCATATTATGCCAAATTTGTGATGCATGTGTTAAAATAGTTTATTCATCATTCTTTTAACACTTTATTCAGACTCCTTTCAGGGATGTATCAAAATCATCTTGGATATCACACTTTTGCAAGTGCAATCAATTGTACGCTATATCGGAAACACTAACCAGCAGAGCACTAGATCATATACATCTACTGGATCAACAAACAATAAAAACGACACCTAATTTTCTATGCGGCATTAAAGGTAATATGAAAAGCGGGCAGCTTCAATTTTTCTAAACGTTTGACTACCATACGTCCTAGCGTTCCTGTATCCACCTGAACTGGATTGCAAGAGTATCAGAAAGGTCAACTTAGTTCAGATAGTTTAATGTTATGCTAACACTGTGGAAGTTCAAAGTGACTATGCATTACGCAAATTAACTGCTTGCAAGGTGTTTTTCTCCCAATTCACTCAAACCTCTACGAAGGCACGTGCTCCAAAACGGAGCCATTGCTTTCAGCATAACTAATGCCTTTTCCTCGGCGCATCAGCTTGGTTTCAACGTGGATAGTGTACTACCTTTAAGCATCCTTCTAGCCCACTGTGTTAACAAGATACTAATTTCCAATCTCCCTGGCCTTATGCACCGATAATATAATGTTGGCGCTACATAATGACTGGGTCGCATTATTAAGGCAATGAATGACCCATTGCTTCATACATTTCCGGACTAAGCAAAAAACTCCGATACTTTTCCGCGTCCGCCGTCATAGAACTCTACTTGCATTTCGATCTAGATTACAAGGCTTTGATGTCGTCAAAACGCGCCTTTAGTTCTTCAGTTTGTACACCTTCCGCGAAACGATAGGATCGGAATCAATGTTATTCTTCCCACTCTTCATGCCGAATACTCATGTTCGTTGTCGTCGTCGCCATAGATTCATGTTCGTTTCCACCAGGAGCAAAACCTTGCTTACATGTTCCTACTTTCATTGGAGATCAACGTACTAACTAGTTTGACTCGATGAAATTCAGTGATTAGGCGTAGCTAGTGGACGGGTTAGTCCTCACATTGGGGACTGTTTCTACATTCGTCCAATCTATGACTAATTGAAGCCTCCTTGTTTAGTACAATTATATATATCAAGTGTCAATTACTTCAGAGAGTAGGCATAACAAATCGGCAGAATTTTAAGATTTGTTTTATTTCGGAAACACCGTAATGCAGATTTTTGCACTTAAGGGGTAGCGGTTGCTGGCGAGCATGCAACGGTAACTCTAGGCTAGGGTTTCTTAAACCTTGTGAGGCCGTTGCTCACAACGTAGGTTCACTATCAGTTATTGCCACCAAAGAAACGTATAGCTTTAAAGGCTAACTACACATTAACTATTATATTTTTGGCATTAACATACGGGAACTACAATTCTTCAGCTCTATCGATCATTTAAATAAATAAAGCTTTTTTGACCCATTTTATTACATCAAATGGGGAGTTCGTCGGTTAGACAGGTTTCTTACTTCTAGCATTTTCTTTTATATTTCGTGCCTTTTCCGCTAATACATAGTATTATTATGAGTAAAGTCTATTTCGTTACGTGCTGTTGTTTTCATTGTCGCCACTGTCAACAATCCACTTTCACACCATTAGACTGTGGCCAATTAGACCAATATCCACAAAGCATTTTTCAATAACGATGCATGCTCGCCACCTATCTTTGTCATGAACCCGAAGCTCCTGTTTTGTCCCTTCCACCTAGTAAACATTGGCTCGCTCCTTTATCCCGTCAGCTGACCAGTGCTCCCACATTGCTGTTCACTCAGTTCTGTAATTTGACCCGGCGATCCACTGCCTGACTCAAAAGAACAGCAATCGACGAAGGAGCCAATAGAGGTGCCGGATAGCTGCGCTGCTTTGCTGGGTTCTCTTCTTATTTTAGGTTGCCGTGTGTTGTCTACTTCATTGACTACTCACTAATGATGGATCGTTGATGGATAATTGATAGTGATTGGGCAGTTAGTCACGTGATTTGTTATAGATGACTAGGCTGTTAATTTTGTTTGCCTAATGATTGATGATCTAATCCTAGTGCCTATATTTGCCCACTTCAAATTCCATTTAACCCCTTAGTGGGTTGCTGCTCCCAGATTGAGAACCGCTGATCTTGATCAA